CACGCCCAAGCGTGCTAGCCCTACTGAGATCATTTAAAGTTAGCAGATTTGGGGCCATCTGTCACCAAACACGGTATGCTTGAAGCAGCGTTCTAATCCAGCCGAATGGAAGGAATTTTCCTTAGTGTTAGACCTTTGTATTAATAATTATAACAATAAAAAAATAGTGTTCCTAGTAATTTCACAAAAAAATATTTAATATCATTGTGTAAGGAACGTTACAAGTATAAGTAAATAATTAACGTTTTCATAAAAATGTAGAAAAAGTGTTTATTTAGTAATAAAATGTTATATACTACGGCTGTTCAAGGCCTTAGCTTTCCTTCATAGCCACAAAAATTTGATTCATACGTAATTTGAATGGGTGTCCGCGGGGATAGCGAGAGACGCGGGGCTACTGAGCCAGCGATCGTCGTCGCTGATGACGCAAGCTCATTCGACCAAGAATCGAACCCGGTACAATGGCAGTAAAACATCGCGACATTAAATAAACTTCAAAATTACAATTAATAATACTTCTTAGTGGTTTAACTCCAACCGTGATTTTATCAATGATTTGTGAATTTAAATTACCGTTTATCAATGGTTGGTAAAGTAAATAATGTAAAATAATTATGGGTCTAAGGCCCTTAAAAAAATCAAATTTGTAAGGGCCGTACCCTTGGGCATTGTGCCCAGAAGGCTGGCAACATGCCCCCTTTGAATTGATAAGATTAGTCTTTGGCGGAAATAACTGCCAGCCCTGTGTTTACCGGAGGCTTCTACGAGGCGATCCGACAGCTCATTCGCTAGAAGTTTCGGCTGTGACCCAAGAGACCCAGGATTTCAACCGCAAAAGGCACAAGGCTGTAGCACTGAGCAAGGTTGGCGTATTGGAGCCTTTTGCGGTTCTTGGCCGCTTTGGCTACAGAGCCTGCGCCGCCCACGCTTGCAAGGTGCACGCTGTAGTGTCCAAATTTTCTATTTATAAACTTTCTTACTTTTTTATGTATCTACGTGCTACATCATATATGTATATCATTATAGCTCAAACTGATATTAATCTTAAACAATTTGTAAGACGTTGTTACAAATTTACATCGTTCTAATTTTGCCGATTTCTCATTCTAGCCAAATTCTAGAGTATAAAAAGACTTTTTTTTATTCCAGACGTCGGCGGAGCTACATCAAGTTTAGGAACCGGTGTTTCTAAGAGTAAGTTAGAACAAAAAATATAATTAATAATATTTTCATATTCTATTAACATTATTCTTCCTCCCTTCGTAATTATTACCAACGTTTTTCAAAATTAATGGAACAAAACGGTATTTTGTGACCAGACTACATGACATATCTACAGTATTAATTTAAATATAGCACTAATCGAGTTCTTAGGTTTTCGCGATTGTTACACATAGGAAATGAAACTATTTTTCCGGATTTAAATCGCGTATATTTGTTTTTTCAAACAAATATAACGGTAACGATTGACTCAACCGTGACCATGGGACCTGTAAAGGGCCCATAACGTCGGTTTGTTTGAAAAAACAAATATACGCGATTTAAATCCGGAAAAATAGTTTCATTTCCTATATAGCACTAATGTTACATAGACTACGTCACATCTCATGATCATCATGGTTCAAGAGCTATTAACGCACGCAAATGAAACTAAATACTGTCGTAATTCAAAAACTGAGAAAACACAAAAAACGCAGCATGAAGACAGTCTTTAGAGCTTACTGCACACCACTGTCCATTGGTGCATTGTGGAAGAGCTACGCTCTACGCGCGCAGTGACAACGCCTTCAGCGCGCTGTTGGAGTTGCCACGTTTCTGCAGCGGCTCAGTCATGTTCGCTGATGCGCGCGTTAAGTTTTTTCCCTGGTGGTAAGCGACACGCCTATAACAGTTACAGTGCCACTCAGTGCTTTGAATCACAAAGATTTGAGGAACACTGCCAGCGCCCGCCACCTTGGAATTTAAGTGGACAAGTCCCATGTGTCCCACTAGTCCCTGTGACATTTCGGACCGTCATTTCACGAATCCGAGAAATGGACAAGTCCCATGTGTCACACGGATCGCTTTATCTCTAGGTGTACAAGTGACATTCATATTTTCTCGGATTCGAATAGGACTTAGTGCACAAGCGACATCCGAAATGGGTCCGAGTTTTCTAAATTTGTTTAGTCTCGGATTCGGAACAAATATGAATGCAGAGCGTAAAAGCGCTAACCCTTTATAACCGGAACGCAGTAATGCTCACGGCAAAAATAGGTAAGGTAGCAATGCTTCCATGCACGAACTCATTCACAAGGGGCTCTACTGCAACTAAAGGCAAAGGTAAAATTTCGTAGCTGCATTACGTAAAAAGTCGTCGTCGTTACAGAACAGAATACGTGTCAGCCCCAACAGCCTCCTGAAGACCATTACAGAGAGGAATGAGTACCCAACATTGCACCTCTTAACAAACATTACGAAGTCCCTGGTAGAATAAGTACTAACTAACATTTAATAGCAGTAGAGCTCCTTGTGAAGGAGTTCAACAAGGGAAGTACTACTACCTTAGCTATTTCTGCCGCCAAGCAGTAATGTGAGCATTACTGCGTTTCGGTTTAGAAGGGTAAGGGTGCTGGTGAAATTACAGACACATGGGACTTGTCAACTTATGGCTCAGGGTGACGGGCGCAGTGGCAGTGTCCATAACATCCACTGTTATGGATAGATGTGTCGATTTCCCGTCACTTGTTAGTATAAAAAAAAACAGTTTTAATTTGATACTATCATTTTTATGGATCCCAGCTATCTGTTAATAAAAGATTTCTATTATCATTACATTTACATTAGTGTGACCAAAACTTACTTATAACTCAAAGAGATTTCAACAGTAATCTTTTCTTGCAGTGGTCACCGATGATGTTAAAGCAGTTGGACCTTTAGGTGGCGGTTTTATAGGTAAATCAAAAGAGTCATTTACGTAGTCTCAGTTTAAAAAACTTGGGATTATTCACATATATTTATTTACGTTTCACATATTTAGTTAGGAACTTATTTTATACATTCATTTTATTATATACTTTATGCACAAGGCACGACACTTTAAACTGCGCGATTATCTGTCGTCACGACATAATGGGAACGCGCCTTTAAACCTCTTCAGTAAAAGATAATTTGCTAATAATCCTGCCCCGTCTGACGAGAAACCACGATACTTTATTAATTAAGTACTAGTTTTATAAATAAAAAAATAATTCCAACAAAAAAAACTTAAATATTACCAAAGCTCTGAATTACAAAAGCATAAACATAATTTATTTATCTGTACAATCTTTTTAAAGTATCTTTACAATGCACTATAATAAATGTTGTAAGTTAATAGATAATTTATCTTGTTTTTTTTTTACAGGAAAGTGAGCAGCACGGAGCATTCATTGATTGTCCATAACATAGATTTAACCAAATATGGACATCGGTCTTTCAATAAAGTGTTATTGTCTGTATAAAGTGTTTAAATCACAAAGCTCTGAGTGGCGTCGCAACTGCTTGTCGCAACTGCGTGTCGCTTACCACCAGGCGCATGAGTTGTTCGTCCCGTTACTTGGTATTTAAAAAAAATATCGGGTTGGAGCCACACAATGTGGTACAATAACTAAGTTCGGCTATAAAGACTAATACCAGATGCAAAATTAAAACGGGACAGGTATTCACAGAGAAAAGCCCTAACCGCTTGAAGTTTGTGGAGACAAAAAAAGCAAAGCTGTTGAACTCTCTGAAGCTTTCATCTCGCATTGATTAAATAACAATGCAGAAAAGTTTTGAGTCTCGCTGGTCTAGCGGTTATCATGGACATTTGATGAAGAATATATTGTTAGCATCGAGTACATAACCAGAAATAGAGACGAAATGTCATTTAATTTGTTTGAAAACTATTCTGCCAAATCATTACGGTGACAACTGCGCTCCGATTGGCCAGCCCGACCAATTTAACTTTGAGCTTTGCTATAATGGACGAAAATCGAAAAATTATATATTTAATATTTAATTACCGACGAAATGTGATCCCGTTTGTTTTGTAATTAGATGTTTTGCTATTTTTCCCACACCACCGAATAGAACAGCTCCCCATTGGTAGATATATTGTCTTTATTACAATAAATACAGAATATATCGAGTTCTTAGGTTTTCGCGATTGTTACACATAGGAAATGAAAAATGAAAAGTTGACTACCACAGTCAACCGTGACCATGGGACCTGTAAAGGGCCCGAAACGTCGGTTTGTTTGAAAAAACAAATATACGCGATTTAAATCCGGAAAAATAGTCTCATTTCCTAAATACAGAATATTTTTGGAATATACGGAGACGTACACACAAGTCAAGTTCTTGGCGCTATACTATTTCGGCTTTCTAATTTGTAATTTCAGTGCAAACCAGAGTTGATATTTAAAAATGATATAAAGCCCATTTGCCTGAAGAGTTGCCAGAAACGAATGGTCCCTATTTCGTCTCTATTTCTGGTTATATAAATATATTCGATGATTATTAGGAAGGTCTCTGCACGTGCTGCCAACCGTCAGCGACGAATACTATATAAGCCTTACAAACCAAACTAACAGCTTTTACTGGTGTGTTCTTGAGGCGTATTTACCTATCGTCCATTTGTATGACGTCAAACGCTTTTCAAATTTGAACATTAGATTTTGTTACCGATTTTTATTTCATTAAAATTATGAATTTATGCATGAAATTTACCATAAGCTGTAGGAAAACATTGCGAAGAAATCTGTACACATCTGCAAAGCAATTTAATGGCGTATGAAGTTGCCAGTTCCAAATAGGCCCACGTGGGAACTGCAGCCCAAGCCCTCTCATTATGAGAGGAGATCTATGTCCAGCAGTGGAACTACATACTAGCTGACTTAAAACGGATTATTTACACGTATTGTCCACGACGTGACGTGTGACGCAACGTCGGTGCCGGTAGCCGGCCAAGGCAACGTCGTCCATGCTTTGTAATAACCCTGGATAATGTTGTCCTGCACTTAGTATCATATAAAAATAAAATTATTTGAATTTAAATTTCGAAGAGACTCTATGCCAGTCAATAGAGTTTCCGATGCAAGAATAATTAATCACCGTCCTACATTCGAAACAGTAAAACTACGCGAAGTTAGAAATATAGCTGTAGCAATGGCAGGCCTGAAATTTTGATCTGCACTCGAGCTGACCGCCTGAATTTCGTAGACCCGCTGCATTCGAAAACAACCTGTAGTTCACCTGAATTCACAAGTGCTTAGGGACACCAGTTTTGAAGAAAAATTAGGACTTTTTCAATTTTTCACAACTATACCTTAATATTATTAGCAGAAACAAATTAACCAACTTCATTAATTTTAATTAAACACTAGCGACATTAATATGCTTGCTAAATCGGTTTTATGCATGAATCAATAGCGAGAAACCAATTTATATATAACATTATTTTATTTATAAATACCGCACAAAAATACAAACACAAAAGTAAAGTCAAAAATACAGGAAAAAAATAAGAAAGATTTTGCGATTTAAAGCTGAGTTGCACTCTAGTGTCTGTGTTGGAGGAATTGCCTTGTCGGTTACCACCAGACGCACGACTTGTTCGTGCCGTCACTTAATAATAATGAAAAAAATTTGTTAAGTAAAATTATTTGTTAATTATTAATCGTAGTTAATATCGATGGTAAGGCATTTATAAAACTTCACTTTTAATTTGATTCGATCAGAAATAAATCCTAATACCCAGCACGTATACCTACTGAATGTTTTTCAGCAGATTATCGATACTTTTTTTTTATAATAATAACGTACACACCCAACACAGCGTTTCCCCGCACTAGGGAAACGCTGTGTCGCGGGCGCCATGGACACACACATAGACAACCACAAATTACACCCAAACTCACGAAAGAAATAAATGTAGGCCTAACAAATATTTCTCCAGGCCCGGGAATCGAACCTGGGACCTCTGCGTGGCAGTCCGGCAAGGTAACCGTTCGGCTACGGAGGCCGTTTAATACTTCTTAAATAGATAAAAAAATAACTTATTCTTTAAGCTTTTTTCTTCTTGTCTTAATTTATAAGTTAACAGCTTCTAATGTATAAACAGAGGTGTAGAATTCATTTTATTTTAAATTAACAGTCGTGTGGTCGCCCTACTAGAATTCGGTCTACATGGTGTCAATAAATCACAGGATTTACGATTGCAGGACGTCGGAACACAATTTACGGCTAGCTGCTGGTCACGGGGCGCGCTCTAGGTTTAGCTACGTGCCCAATTCGATTAAACTATTTGATATCGTTTTTGTCTAGTGACAGTTTTGCGCTGTGTAGAAGTTACACTTATGAAAGTATCTGCAAAAAATACCTTCAAGGTCAAAGTCAAATAATTTTTATTTCACAGGTAAGCAAATTATACTTGAAACCGTGGTACTGATTAAACTCCACTGCTCATTCGTAAGGTAGATTCCCCTGAGAAGAATGAGCAGGAAAGTCTAGGGGTTACTGTATGTAAATGTACATTTGAATACATTTATCATTACAATATTTAATTTAAACAACTTAGATCGTGAATACCTGAAACAGCTAAACGGGTCACTGCCACGTATTTTTGTCATCCTAGTACGCAGAAGTTGTATAATATTCTTTAGTATGAAGTTTTTGTTTCACAATTTCATTTAACTTTACAGACGGCCATTACATTTTAACTTATTACTAGTTATTACTTACTTTAGTAGCAGTAGAGCTCCTTGTGAAAAGGTTCGTCCAGGGAAGTACTGCCACCTTACCTATTTCTACCGCCAAGCAGTAATGGTCACATTACTGTGTTCCGGTTGTGAAGGGTAAGGGTGCTGGTGAAATTACAGGCACATGAGACTTGTCAACTTATGTCTCAGGGTGACGGGCGCAGAGGCAGTGCCCCCAAGATCTTTGTAATTTAAAGCTCTTGGTGGCACTGCAACTGTTATGGGCATGCGTGTAGCTTACCACCAGGCGCACGACTTGTTCGTCCCGTCACTTGGTATTATAAAAAAAAAAAAAAAAAAAAAAAAAA